TTCTATCTCTTCCCGGTCCAGTTTTGGGAGACTATGTGTTTCTAGGAATTTGTCCATTTTGCTTAGATTGTCAAATTTGTTGCCATATAGTTGTTCATCGTAGTTGTTAATGATCCTTTGTATTTCTATGGTGTCAGTTGTTGCTTCTCTTCTTTCTGATTTTGTGTATTTGGGTTCTCTTTCTTTGTTTCTTGGTGAGTCTAGCTAAGGGTCCATAAATCTTGTTTATCTTTTTGAAAAACCAGCTCTTTGTTTCATTGATCCTTTAAATTGTTTTTTTTTGGACTCTGTCATTTATTTCTGCTCTGATCTTTACTATTTCCTTCCTTCTACTTGCTCTGGGGTTTTCTTTTTGTTTGCTTTCTAATTCTTTAAGTTGTGAGGTTAGATTTTTCTTGTTTTTTTTTGAAGTACGCCTGTAGTGCTATGAACTTCCCTCTCAGAACTGCTTTTGCTGCATCCCATAGATTTTGTGTTGTTGTGTCTTCATTTTCATTGGTTTCCAGGAAGTTTTATTTTCTTCCTTGATCTCCTCTGTAACCCATTCACTGTGTAATAACATGCTATTTAGCTTCCATGGGTTCAAATGTCTTTGCATGTTCTTGTTGCAATTAATTTCTAGTTTCATGCCATTGTGATCTGAGAAGATGCTTTATATGATTTCAATCTTCTTGAACTTAGAGACTTAGTGTGTGTCCTAACATGTGGTCTATCTTTGAGAACGTCCCATGTTCACTTGAAAAGAATGTGAATTCTGTAGTTTTGGGATGTAATTCTATGTAGATATCTATTAAATTCATTTGGTCTAGTGCTTCATTTAGAGTCTCTGTTTCCTTGCTAATATTTTGTCTAGAGGATCTATCCAGTGATGACAGTGGGGTGTTGAAATCCCTATGATTGTATTGCTATCGATTTCTCCTCTGAAGTCCTCCAGAAGATTTTTCATATATGTTCGTGCTCCTATATTGGGTGCATATATGTTTATCAAGGTTATATCTTCCTGTAGGTTAGATTCTTTCAATATTATGAAGTGTCCTTCTTTGTCTCTAGTTATGGCCTTCATTTTGAAATGTATTTTATCAGATATGAGTATTGCTACCCAAGCTTTTTTTTTCCTTTCCATGTGCTTGGAAGATTTTTTTCCATCCCTTAACTTTCAACCTATGTGAGTCTTTTGTTGTGAGGTGGGTCTCTTGTAAACAACATATCAATGAGTCATGCTTTCTTATCCAATCAGCTACTCTGTGTCTTTTAATGGGAGCATTAAATCCATTTACATTTAAGTTGATTATTGATATGTACTTATTTATTGCCATTTTTGTTTAGTGTGTTTGTATTTTTCTTCCTATTTCTTCTACTAATTACAGCAGTCCTTTAAACATTACTTGCAGTGCTGGTTTGGTGCTAATGTATACCCTTATCTTTTTTTTTTTTGTTTGGGAAGCTCTTTTTTTGACCTTCTATTTTGAATGATAGCCTTGCTTGATAGAGTTGTCTTGGATTCAGATCCTTGTTTTTCATGACCTTGATTACCTCATGCCATTCCCTTCTGGCCTGTAGTGTTTCTGTTGAGAAGTCTGCTGAGAGCCTTATTGGGTTTTCTTTGTAGGTAACCATTTGCTTATCTCTTGCTGCCTTTAGGATTCTCTCTTTGTCTTTAATTTTTGGCATTTTAATTACTATGTGTCTTGGTGTGGGACTGTTTGGGTTCTTCTTACTTGGGGCTCTCTGTGCTTCTTGAACTTGAATGCCTTCTTCCTTCACCAAATTACAAAAGTTTTCTGTCACTATTTCTTCAAATATATTCTCTAACCCTTGCTCATTTTCTTCTTCTTCGGGGACTCCTATGATGCAAATGTTATTACATTTTCTGTTGTCCCACAGTTCTCTTAAGCTGTTTTCCTGTTAATTATATTTTCTTTTTGGTTTTCTGATTGGTTGATTTTTTCTACCCTATTTCTAATTCACTGATCTGGTCCTCAGCTTCCTCTACTCTGCTATTTAGACTTTCCAAATTGTTCTTTATTTCTGATATGTCATTCTTTAGTTCTTCTTTGTGGTTTTTAATTTCCAACTAATTGATTTTCAACATTTCTATACCTTTACTCATGGTGCTGAGTCCTTATTCATGCTGTTAAGCTTCCTCAAGGTCATGGCTTTGAAATCTACCTCTGATAATTTGCTTAGCTGCAATTCAGTTATCTCATCTTCGATAGAGTTCTCTTGTTCTTTCATTTGGGATTTGTTTCTGTGTTTCACTACTTTGGCTATCTCAGTGCGTTTTCGAGCCTGCCAAATTTTCTCTGTAGGTGTTGGTGTTTTGCTGTTTGTGGCTCCCTCTAGTGGGTTTCGATGGGCCTGGGTGGGCCCACGTTAAACACCACTGTTCTGTCTTACTTTTCTGGGTAGATATGCAAGCCCAGGAAATATTCAGTTATCCTCTAGCTTTTTTCCTGGAGTCTAGTAGTCTCAGTTATTCAGTGCCTTGGAACGTAGTTCTGATGTATTGCATAAGAGGATTTCCAGAAGGTGGGATAGATGCTTGTTGTTAATAAGCCTGAATTTCTATTTCTTTGCCTCACTTGGGAAAGGCTGAATCTCTGCGTGGGTGGCTGCTGCTTTTTTCCACAGCTCTAAGAAAAAGCTCACTGGCCATCATCCTTTGTGGCCGCAACTCAGCAAAAACTTTTGAGTGCCCTCCAAATCTTAGGTATCCGCACACAGTTCCCACTCAGTCTGCCCTCCCTTTGCCATAGCCCTGCAGGTCCCATGGGTAACTAGATCGCATAGTCCCTGCTGGTTCTCAGAGGCCTCTCTGGTGCCCTTGCACCCTGCAAGTCCCACATGCGGGCACCTGGATCACACCAGTCTCTCTCGGATTCTGGCTTCCCAATGCTTTTGTGAGCTACTGGACCACACAGGCCTCTGTGAACCCCAGGTCTTGCTGCTGGTGGCTGAGGAATGCTGCAGCCCCATGGGACTCAACTCCTGCTCAGCTTTTGCTGTAGTTTTTGGGGATAGGTCTCAGCTGATGGTCTGTGCTTCTTTTGCCTCAGGATGGATGTATGTTCCCCAGCCTCTGTTGCTTGGGGTATATCTCAACTCTGATCGGTCTGCTACTATGGGGGATGGTGCTGGGCTCCAAGCTGTCTGCAGCTTCTGTGATCAGCACCTTGAGAGCTCCACTACTGTGCACCAGTCTGTTATGACACAGAGTGTCCACTGTTCAGATGGTGCCAGGTGTGCTGGTCGGCTCAGGTTGCTGGGCCCTTGCTGCTCCCACTGCTTCCTCCCAGGGAACACCAGGGATCTTCCAAAATTGTGGGACCTCCCTGCATTGCAGGGAGATGCGCCCTGAAGGGCCACTTACCATGGTAGCCAGCTGCTCCCACCCACAGCACAGGAACTTTCTGCTTCGAGGCTCTGCACTGCTTGGGTTTGGTCATCCACCTTCACATCCACTCACACACTCGCTTACTCTCTCACACACTCACCCTCCCTCTGGTCCTGCCCACTGCCATCCTCGCCTCATAGAGGGAACCATTTTTTAGAGCACATTCTTTTATCCATTTCATGTACTCCAAATTTACAGGTCCTTTAAAATTTACTTCCTTTCATTCATTCAGTGGACATTTGTTCATGCCATAAAGTATAAGCTCTATAGGGTGTCTTTCCTTAGACAATATACCAAGAGACATTATCATTTTTACTTCACATCTAGCCTTGTTGTGACTCCACATCAGGGGGAAATGTCATTTTGGTTCAGTTCGTACATCACTTTTATTGCATGTTTGACTACCTCTCAATTTAATGTAATTACTAGAGTCATACATTCATCCCAGGCAATCCATAGTAGTTTAGATATTGTCTCTTCTGTGCCTATGTCATAGCATATGGTTGTAACAAAGTAACAAACATATATCCAGAAGAAAAAATTATAATTACAAGTGAGTCTCATAACTGAAATAGTTATAAATTATATTACATAATATTTTAATTCTTAAAATCATAAAACCATTAATATTTGAGTACATTAATTATTTTGCTGCACACTGTACAGGCAACCAATAAATAATGGATTCTCATAAGTAAAACAAATAACAAAACAAAACTATTCAAATGTTTGGTTTGTATTTATCCCATATTTCATGTTTTTTTTTTTTATTGTTATCTTTTTGCTATTCATTCTCTTCCCCAAGTTTTTACCACTTAGCCATCAATGCAGATAGAACAAAATAAGTAATTGGCATAGTTATCATTTTACAATTTCAGTCAACCTCCTTATCTCAGTCTAATTCTTTCCCATACATATGGGGGGATAGGAGGGAAGGTGATAGATGATGATGGAATGTGCTTAAAAGAGCAAAGGACTTAATAATAGAAGACAAAAAACAAGGAGGAAGAACAGGGGAAATATGTCACTGTTCTAGGAGTGTTTGTGGGAATGAACTTGTCTCTCACCAACCCATACTTGCTACTATAAGACCATACATATTCAAGGGATAAGAAAAAAATACATTCAGATAAAAATTATTTGATAACATTTCTACAGAAATTAGGTGGATGAAGCAAAATGAAGAGGACTGGCATGATCTGTGTCATTGTCTTACATATGGTGGCTTTGTCTTCTATTAGCATAGATAACCACATTTGGTTGCAAAAGCCTATATTTCATTGATAAAAGATAGCCAAGGTCTTATTCCTATTTCAAAATATTTTTCTTGGCACTATATGTAAGGATGTTTCACTATTGTTCTTACATTCCAAGGTACTTAAAAAGTCCATAAGGTAATTTTGCTTTCAATAAATCAATGGGTTTCCATTTAATATTATTTGACTATGCTCTAGAAAACAAGAAATAAAAGAAAAAATTGGCTAGTTATGTATACATTTGAACCAGAATGCAAAAAGAAGGGAGAATATTTCATTTTTACTGAGGCAAACTGCTGAGAAAAATAAAAGTAGCTATACTCTTTAGCAAGCAATTCGCTTGTTCTTACCTAAAACATAAATCTCACTGTGGACTACAGCTGTACTGAATCGGTACTTAGAGTACTTCATGGGCGCCCGCTCTGTCCATTGATCTTGACTGGGGTCATACTGCAACAGTTTGTTGCTTAATCGATCAGGTTCTTCATCAGGAAGATCCATCTGCATGAAATATGACAACCAACATAATAATATACCATTTAAAGATCTCTGTGAGTACATAAATGAAATTAATCAAAGCAAATAGCCAAAGAGATAGAGGCTAAGTGTAGTAACTCAAACTCTCAAACACACAAATCTCATGACTTGGGGTTATAAATACATTGTCAATATCAGAGGAATTTATATTCTTTAATAATGGGGCTCAGGTGTTGGGTTACAGCAAATAATCTGTGATATTAGCAGTAAAGCAATATAATACAGTGTTTTACAAAAACAAAGTAGCTGCCACACCTTAAAAATGAAACCAAGCTTTCTATAAGGTGTGTAAAGTATAATTTTATTTTTCCAAACTTTATAGTGGCAATATTTGTGATATACTAATTTTAATAATTTATAAGGCATTTTTATTTATAATAATTTTCTAATCCAAATGGAACAAAGTTACCAAAACATAGTTTTCTAGAAATTATTTTTACCCCACATTATTATCCATATAGGAATGGTCTGAATTCAGTTTTAAAATATATGGATTAATATAAATTATCTGCAGTTATTTTATGTATTTATTTTATTTTATTTACATATATGTCTTTAATGACTAGAGATAGTACAAATTGAATGTTTATTCTTAAACAGATGTATGTGTCTTCTACTCATAAACTTCAAGTGAAGTAAATTTTTTTTACATGTCAGGTACTTTTATGACTTCAGGCTAAAGATGCTTAAGTGCCTTTTGTTTTTTGTTTCAGATGCAGTTCAACACAGAAATAATGGCTTTATATATGAAAGTTGTATGCAATTACTTTTAGTTAATTATTTAAAATGCATCCAGAGTTATGATCACTATGGTTGCAATCACAACCCCATGTTACCTTGTAATTTAATGGATAGTGTTAGGTACTGACTAGCAAAAGCTTCTGTTATGCAATAAATATTCACATGCCATCTGTTCAAAGATAATATAAATTAATAAATATTAACTTTATTGTTTTAATTTTTCTTCTAATGTAAGTATTTAATCTCCAACATAGTGAAAGAAGAGTAAAGAAAAGCTTCTAAGTTGTCTTTGGAGCTATTCATGCAAAATTAACAATGTAATGAATAGTTATGAAAAAACTTATTTATAAATAATTTGTCAGGTATCAGCTACTAGCTGTGATTAAATCTGTACCTCTTTTTGATACATAATATACAATTTAAAATGTATTAAATGTAAAAAAATAAATAAAATGTATTAAATGTAAAAATTTAAGTTTTTAAAATATGTATGATATGCTATATACATGACAAAGTTCAAACTTATGAAATAAATGCAAAGCATCAGATTTATCATGAAGCAAATATGTAGAACCATGAAATTATATAGGCAAAAATAAATTTATGTTATGTGGGTGGACAAGGAGCTGATAAGATTAATTTCTATTAGAAAGACTAGATGGCCAGGGTAAAAGGTAACTAGAGTGATACAAAATTACTGTGAGAGCTCCAAGGCACTGGGAAGAACGTCCAAGAGAACATAAAAAACCTCTGTAGGCACATCATATTGACTTTTCAGTTTTGGCTTGTCAACATTTCACAGGGCTCCAATACCAACAATATTCTGGTTTCTCTATCTGCTGATGCCCAGCAAAGACAAAGTGTTTAAGATCACAATGTAGTTTTGTGTAAATGAGCACTCTGGTTTCCTATTTACAGTAAGAATTTTAAATATGAAAAAGACCTAAAATAAGAGTTACTTGCCTCACACCACACAGCAGTTATGCAGACAGTACTGGGATAAAGACCCAGCTTCTCTGCCTTTTCCTTAGATGCTCCCTACATATAATACCTCAACATAAACATCTTTCATAAATAGCAAGATGGGAAGGATTATGAAGAATACAGCATAAATACTGAAATGAAGTCATGTCTATGACTAACACACTTTAAAAATTCATTCTCCTAAACTGCTTTAAACTTTAAACCTTAAGTTTAGTATTCAAGAAAATAAAAAATATTTACCAAAAATGTAAGTCACACTCCTGTAATATTCAACAACTACAATATTTTTCAACACAGCAGCCAGACTCAGCATAGCCATGCCAATTAGGTATATAGAAAATTTCTTAACCTGAGGGGTCCAGCCTCCAATCACATAAAGTTTATTATTCACTGTCACTGCAGCATGACATGCCAATTGTAGTGGAAGGGGAGACACCCTTTTCCAGTTGTCCCGTTCTACAGAGTATTTATCAACACAGTTTGTAATAAGATACTGGTTTTTAATTTTCATCTGTCCTCCTATAATATAGAGGTCATTATGGATACTGCCCAGAGCATAGAGCTCTCGAAATTCAGTTGTGCATAACTTTTCCCAAAACTGGTTTCTTCTATCATGATACCTGTAAATTAACAGAGAGAGAGAATTCAGGATTAGAGTTAACATGAAAACAACTTACTCAAGAAACACACTTAAGTTTCTTTTCCAACTTAAAACAATATGATTTGGTTCTTCTAATTGAAAATAAAAAATAAAAAAAATCAACAAAAAATAGTGATTTAGGTTTGCAGATATTTTGTTTGTTTGTTTTTTGCAAGGTCTGATGAGGAAACTATAATGTGCATAGAAACAATTAACCACACCTACCTGCAGAATTTTAGGAAAACTAATGTATTAAAAAAATATAGATTATCCAAGACTAGCCTTCATTTCCTAATTTTGGGTAATAAAATAAAGAGGTTGAATGACCTTTTCACAGGGGTCGCCTAAGACATAACAGTAGCAAAATTACAGTTATGAAGTAGGAACAAAAATAATTTTATGGTTGGGGGTCACCACAACATGAGGAAATGTATTAAATGGTCACAGTGTTAGGAAGGTTGAGAACCACTGCTTTAAATAGTCTTTATTGTTGAGAGTATTACAGATGTCTCCCCTTTTTTCCTTCATTGACCCTTTTCCCCCTATTCCCAACCCCCACTCAGGCCTTCACCACACTATTGTCTGTGTCTATTGGTTATTCATATATGTATATCAATTTTTTGGTTAATCTCTTCTCACCCCCACCCTCCTTTCCCTCTAAGATTCATCGCTGTTCCTTGCTTTCATGTCTTTGGATCTATTTTGTTCATCAGTATATTTTGTTCATTGGATTCCACATGAAAGTGAGATGATGTGATACTTGTCTTTCTCTAATTGGCTCATTTTGCTTAGCATAATACTCTCCAGGTCCCTTCATGCTGTCTCAAAGGGTAAGAGAGCCCTCCTTTCTTATAGCTGCATAGTATTCCATTGTGTAAATGTACCACAGCTTTCTTATCCACTCCTCCACTGATGGGCACTTGGGCTGTCTCCAGATCTTAGCTATTATAAATAGCACTGCTATGAACATAGGGGTGCAAATATTCTTTCTGACTGGTGTTTCAGGATTCTAAGGATATATTTCTAGAAGTCAAATCACTGGGTCAAATAGATATTTCACTTTTAATTTTCTGAGGAAATTCCATAGTGTTTTCCATAGTGGCTGCAGCAGTCTGCATTCCCACCAACAGTGTACTAGGGTTTCCTTTCCTCCATATCCTCGCCAGCACTTGTTGTTTGATGATTTGTTGATGGTGGCCATTCTGGCAGGGGTAAACTGGTACCTCAGTGTTGTTTTAATTTGCACCTCTCTGATGATTAGTAATGCTGAGCATTTTCATTTTTTTTTTTTTTTGATATTTTGTTCAGATAGAGTGGGAGAAAGAGCGAGAGCGAGAGCCAGAGCGAAAGAGAGAGAGAGAGAAACATCGACGTGAAAGGGACACATCGAGTGGTTGCCACCCTCACAACCCAACCAGGGCCGGGGACAAACTGCAACCGAGGTATATGCCCTAAGCGGGATCCGAACCCGGGTTTCTCTGGACCGCAGGCTGATGCTCTAACCGCTGAGCCAAACCGGCCAGGGCTGCTGAGCATTTTCATATGTCTCTTGGCCATTTGTATGTTCTCTTTGAAGAAGTGTCTATTCAGGTCCTCTGCTCCTAATTTAATTGGATTATTACCTTTTATTGAATTGCATGAGCACTTTATGTATTTTGGAAATTGATCCCTTATTATCATTGTAACATTGGCAAATATGTCCTCCCAGAGAATAGGTTCTCTTTTCATTCTGATGCTGGTTTCTTTTGCTGCGCAGAATCTTTTTAGTTTGATGTAATCCCATTTATTTTTTAATTGTTTCTTTTGCCCTAGGCAATGTATTGGTAAAAATTCTGCTATGTGATATGTCTGAGATTTTGCTGCCTATGGTTTCTTCCAGAATTTTTATGCTTTCATGACTTACATTTAAGTCTTTTATCCATTTTTAATTTATTCTTGTGTATGGTGTAAGTTGGTGTTCTAGTTCCATTTTTGCATGTATCTGTTCAATTTTCCTAGTACCATTTATTAAAGAGACTGTATTTACTCATTGCATGCTCTTGCCTCCTTTGTCAAATATTAATTGAATATAATGGATTGGGTCAAAATTTGGGTTCTCTGTTCTGTTCCATTGTGCCAGTACAATGCCTGTTCTTGTTCCAGTACTAAGCTGTTTTGAATACCATGGCTTTGTAGTGTATCCTGATATTGGGTATTGTGATTCCTCCAACTTCGTTCTTCATTTTCAAGATTGCTATAGCTATTTGGTCTTTTATGGTTCCATGTAAACTTTTGGAGCATTTGTTCTAGATCTGTGAAATGTGCCATTGGTACTTTAATAGGAATTGCATTGACTCTATAGATTGCTTTGGGTATATGGTTATTTTAATGATGTTAATTCTTTCATCCCACAAACACGGTATATTCTTCCACTTGTTTATATCTTCCAATATCTCTTTTTTCAACTTCCTGTGGTTTTTTGGGTACAGGTCTTTAACCTATTTAGTCAAGTTTATTCCTAAGTATCTTACTTTTTTTTTTATTGCAATAGTACATAGTACTTTTTAGTTTCTCTTTCTGATAGTTCACTTTGGTGTATGAAAATGACATTGATTTCTGGATGTTAATTTTGTTTCCTGTTACATTGCTAAATTCATTTCTTAACACTAGTAATTTTATGGTGGAGTTAGGATTTTCTATGTACCATATAGTGTCATCTGCGAATAATGACATTTTTACTTCCTCCTTTCCATTTTGGTAGCTTTTTACTTTTTCTTTTTGTCTGATTGCTGTGGCTAGGACTTTCAGTACTATGTTGAATAAGTGTGGCAAAAGTGACCATCCCTGTTTTGCTCCTGTTCTTATGGGAAATGTTTTTTAGTTTTTTCCCATTTAATATTATGTTCACTGTAGGTTTGTCATACATGGCCTTTATTATTTTGAGGTATGATCCCTCTATTTCCACTTTGCAGAGATTTCAAAATAAAAAATGGATGTTATCCCTGGCCAGTTTTGCTCAGTGATTAAAGCATCAGCCCACAGACTGAAGGGTCATGTGTTTGATTCCCAGTCAAAGGCATGTGCCTGGGTTGCAGGCTTGATCCCATGCCCCGTTTGGGGTCATGTAGGAAGCAACCAATTGATGTGTTTCTCTCACACAGATGTTTCTCTCTCTCTCTCCCTCTCTCTTTCTCCCTCCCTTTTTTCCACTTTAGCTAAAACTCAATGGTGGGGGAAAATCTGTAATACTTTCAATAGTAGAGATTAAAAAAATATATTACTCCAAAAAAAGAATGAAAAAATATCCTCAGTTGAGGATTAAATAAAAATGGGTGTTAGATTTTGTTGAATGTTTTTTCTGTGTCTATTGATACGGTAATGTGATTTTTACCTTTTAATTTTTTTATGTGATATATCAAATTTATTGATTTGCAAATATTGAACCTGCCTTGCATCCCTGGTATCAATTCTACTTAGTTGTGGTAATTTTTAAAATGTATTGCTGGGTCCGATTTGCTAATATTTTGTTGAGGATTTTAGCATCCATGTTCATCAGAGATATTGGCTTATAATTTTCCTTCTTTGTAGTGTCTTTATCTGGTTTTGGAATTAGAATAATGCTGGCCTCATAAAAAGAACTTGGAAGTATTTTTTCTTTTTGAATTTTTTGAAAGTTTGAGGAGAACAGGTATTAGTCTTTCTTTGAGTATTTGGTAAACTCCCCTGTGAAGTTGTCTGGATGAGGACTTAAGTTTTCTAGGGTTTTCTTTATTACTGCTTCAATTTCATTGGTTGTTATTGGTCTATTTAGGTTTTCTAAATCTTCTGTTTGAGTTTCAGGAGATTGTATGATTCTAGGAATTCATCCATTTTGTCTAGGTTGTCCAATTTGTTGGCATGTAATTGTTCAAAGTATTTTCTTACTACCCTCTGTATTTCTGTGTTGTCAGTTGTTTCTTCACATCTTTCATTTCTGATTTTGTTTAGTTGGGTTCTCTCTTTGTTTCTTGATGAGTCTGGCTAAAGGTTCATCAATTTTATCTTTGCAAAGAACTAGATCTTGGTTTCTTTCATCATTTATATATATTTAAAATTAAATGTATTTTTATTTCTGCTCTAATCTTTATTCTTTTCTTTCTTCTACTGACTCTCGACTTTTCTTGTTGTTCACTTTCTAATTCTTTAAGTTGTGGTTTATTAAAAAATTTTCTTCTATATTGAGGTAGGCCTATAGTGCTAAGAACTTCCCTCTCAAGACTGCTTTTGCTGTTTCCCAGAGATTTTGGCTTGTTGTATGTTCATTTTCATTTGTTTCCAGGATTTTAAAAAATTTATTCCTTGATCTCATTGTAAACTCATTCATTGTTTAATAACACGCTATTTAGCCTCTATGTGTTTGAATGTTTTTGAGTGTTTTTACTTTAGGTGATTTCTAGTTTCATGCCACTGTGATTTGAGAAAATGCTTGATATGATTTAAATCTTCTTGAAGTTGTAGAGACTTAGTTTGTGTGCTAACATGTGGTCTATCTTTGAGGATATTTTATGTCCATTTGAGAAGAATTATATTCCGTATCTTTAGGTGAAATATTATATAAATGTCAATTAAATCAATCTGATATAGTGTGTCATATAGGGTCGCTGTTTTCTTGTTGATTTTTTTTGCCTAGAAGATCTATCCAGTGATGTCAGTGGGATGTTAACGTTCCCTATTAAAATTATATTGTTGTTGATCTCTCCCTTAAAGTCATCCAGAATTTTAAAATAATTTTGGTGCTCCAATATTGGGTGCATATAAGTTTACCAGATTTATATCCTCATATTGGATTGATCCCTTTAGTATTATGTAGTGACATTCATTGTCTCTGGTTATGGCCTTAATCTTGAAGTCTCTTTAGTCATATATTGCTACCCAGCTTATTTTGTGTTTCCATTTATATGAAAAAAATTTTTCATCCTTGACTTTAATCCTGTGTGAGTCTTTTATACTGAGGTGGGTCTT